AAGTAAATTCAGATTTTTGTTTAAAAAAGTTAAATCAATAATACCAGATAATAAAATATAGATTTTTAACTGGCATTTTGCTTTAACACAAGTTACATGAAGTTCTTTTTTAAAGTGACAATCTATATTATTTATCTATGGCGACATTTTTTTTTAATAAAAACATCGAATTTTATATCAGTGACGATATTGTTTCTAATAAAAATTTCGAATTTCATATCAATGACGATGATTTTTTTAATTGAATTTTATAGATTATTTACCTATGGCGACTTTTTATATTACTAGTTTGCTTGTTACTAAAGTCCCTTTTTAAATTATATTACTTGCATTTTACTCGTCAGTAGAGTCACTCTTTCGATGTTTTCTACATTTTGCTCATTTTTTTATAAATATCTTGCATTTTAATTTGTTCGTCAGTAGAGTACCTTTCCTACTTACTATCTTGTATATTGCTCGGCAGTATAGTTCTTTTTAATATTTTATCAGTTTGCTCGTTAGTAGAGTTCCTTTTTTATAAAATGTCATAACCTTGTTTTTCGTCAGTAGATTTGCTGTAATGCATTTTAGTTTGCTCGTCAGTAAAGTCCCTTTTTAATATTTTCTTATATCTTAGGTGAATTTTTTTCATCAGTAGAGTTCTTTTTATTTTTTTTAGATTGATAATTAGAAAAATCTTATTTTATTTCTTATATCCAATAACAGTTTGCTATTTCTTATATCCGATAGCATTTTTCAAATATTTTCTTATATTTTGCTCGTCAGTAAAGTCCCTTTTCTATTTACTGTTTTGTATTTCAGTTTGCTCGTTAGTAGAGTTCCTTTTCAATTATTTAACTTCTATTTTGCTCATCAGTAGAGTCCCTTTTAATATTTTATCGGTTTGGTAGTCACTAGATTTTTATAAAATGTCTTGTATTTCAGTTTGTTCATCAGTAGAGTTTTTTTCTAAGGTTTTCTCACAATTTTCTCGCCAGTAGAGTCCTTTTTAGTATTTTGTCAGTTTTCTCGTCAGTAGAGTCCCTTTTCGATATTTTATTTTGCATTTCGTCAGTGGAGTCTTTTTTGATATTGCATCTAGAGCTCAATTTATATAAAATGTCTTGTATTTTAGTTTGCTCGACAGTAAAGTCCCTTTTCCAATATTTTTCTTGTACGTAGAGTTCCTTTTTTTTATAAAATGTCTTATAATTCAGTAGAGTCCCTTTTCAAATAGTTTGCTCGTCAGTAAAGTCCTTTTTCAAATATTATCTCATATTTTGCTCGTCAGTAGAGTCCTTATTCTATTTTACCTTATACGTAGTAAACGTAGTAAAATATTGTAGGGCTGTGGAAGACCAGTGGTTAAAATATAAATTTAATTAGTGTTGCACGGCATCGTGCCTTAAGGCAAACTGCTGGAACTTTCCGTACCAAAAAAAAAAAAAATTAGAATAGATTAATTTTTACAGAACTCTGAAAAAAATACCTTGAGAAAAAATTTACCTCACTGAAATTTTTTTCTGTACTTTGAAATTTCTTGGAAATTCATTTACACTTAGTTTATCTATAACTTTTTGCTATGAATTTTGTTTAAAAAATTAACAATTCCTATTTCCACCAGGAATGCAGCGCCTGTAACCCACTTCCCATCCCAATCGCATCCAAAGGAAGCTCCTTGAGCAACATTCAAGAAGAAAACACTCAAGACTAACAAGCAACAAATGTTCTGTATTAAAATTTATTAATGTACAAAAATACACGAGTCAATCCTTATGTCTGACATAAAAAACAAAATCTCCATTTTCAATTCAAATCATTTACTAAAACTTAACATAAAAAGTAAAAACTAACCTCCTCAGTCCATCTATCATTTATAACTTTTTCTTATCGTCGCCAAGAAGAGAACACTCAAGACTAACAATAACAAACAACCAACAAATGTTCTGTATTAAAATTTATTAATGTACAAAAATACACGAGTCAATCCTTATGTCTGACATAAAACCAAAATCATCAATTTCAATTCATTTACTAAAACTTAACTAAAAAGTAAAAACTAACCTCCTACCCATGCAGTCCCTTTTCAAATATTTTGCTCGTCAGTAGAGTTCCTTTTTTTATAAAATGTCTTGTAATTCAGTAGAGTCCCTTTCCTAATAGTTTGCTTGTCAGTAGAGTACCTATTCAAAAAACTTCCTATATTTTGCTCGTCAGTAGAGTTTTTCTGTTTAAATGTCTTGTTTTTCGTCAGTAGATTCCCTTTTTTATTTAATGTTTTATATTTCTCTAAAAAGAGTTCTGTTTTATCCTTTTTAAATCGGTCATAGGAAGATACTTATTTAATTTTTTATGCCAATATTCAATTTGCTCGTCAGTAGAGTCCTTATTCTATTTACGATTTTTTATTTTAGTTTGCTTGTCAGTAGAGTTCATTTTTTATAAAACGTCTTCTATTTCAATTTGTTCTAAGTTTTTTTTCACATTTTTCTCACCAGTAGAGTCCTTTTTAATACTTTATCGGCTTGCTCGTCAGTAAAGTCCCTTTTCAAATATTTATCTTATAATTTGCTTGTCAGTAGAGTCCAATTCTTATAACATGTCTTGTATTTTAGTTTGCTGGGCAGTAGAGTTCCTTTTTTATAAAATGTCTTGTAATTCAGTAAGAGTCCCTTTTCTATTTACAGTTTCGTATTTCATTTTGCTCGTCAGTAGAGTCCCTTTTCAAATATTTTTCTCGTCAGTAGAGTTTCTTTTTTTATAAAATGTCTTGAGATTCAGTAGAATCCCTTTTCAAATAGTTTGCTCGTCAGTAGAGTCCCTTTTCTATTTCAATTTGCTCGTTACTTTTCAAATTTACTGTTTACTGTCTTGTGTAACAGTTTGCTCGTCAGTAGAGTTCCTTTTTTATCTTATTTAGATAGATATTTATTTAATTTGATTTTATTATATTTTACATGAAACGTTCCACGAGATAGTGTTCGTAGTATTAACTATTGCAGAGCTGTGGAAGACCAGTGGTTAAAATATAAAAAATAATTGAAATTTCAATGCGCATGTCAATTATATTAATTGACATGCGCTTTTAGAAAATACATCGTGTATGTATTAGGTAAAATTTGAATAATTTATAAACACATTCTAAAAATTTGAACAAAATTTTTTCAATGAATTTCGTATTTCATTTTGCTCGTCAGTAGAGTCCCTTTTCAAATATTTTTCTCGTCAGTAGAGTTTCTTTTTTTATAAAATGTCTTGAGATTCAGTAGAATCCCTTTTCAAATAGTTTGCTCGTCAGTAGAGTCCCTTTCAATTATATTAATTGACGTGCGCTTTTAGAAAATACATCGTGTATGTATTAGGTAAAATTTGAATAATTTATAAACACATTCTAAAAATTTGAACAAAATTCAATAATCTGAAAAAGTTTCTTACATTATAGTCCCTACTCAATTATTCATCTTGTATTTTGTTCGAAAAATTCTTATGATAATTGTATAACACTATTTTATGAGGCAGAATTGCCCCCAAAACATTTATTTATTACTAAAATAGGCCTTAAATATTGTTAAAAAATTAATAATTCCATTTTCCACCAGGAATGCAGTGCAAAAAGTAAAAACTAACCTTCAGTCCTTTAATCATTTGCTATAATTTTTGAAGTAAAACTTCTTTAGGCGCGACATGGGTGTAAAAACTTCTTTAGGCGCGACATGGGTTAGCAGTATAATTCGTGAGTTAATAAAAATGTCAGGATCGGAAGAATATTTTATCCCGTCCCCCATGAATAATTGTAGTGCAAATGATCGCAAATAAATAATGAAACTAAGGAAAAATCTGCGCTGCGTAAGAAATGATAGCTTTGGCTATGTATGTTTTGTTGTGATCGACTTTGGCTTCAAAGCGGCTTAGAAATATCAAATGATGCTCAAAAACAAATTCTTAATGATGTTTTATGAATATTCATTCAAATAATCAGGTTGGATGTCAAACTTGTCGAAAGATATTAAATTCGGGTAAAATTCCCACTTTGTGTAAATTTAACGGGTTTGTATTTTCACCTATACCAAATTATCTACCTAAACTAGATACTCTATCTGAAAGATTAATTTCACCTAGGTTGTGTTTCATGCAAATTAGACGATTGCGACATGCAAATGGACAATTTGGAATGTTTGGCCAAATTATAAATGTGCCTGTTGACATTAATAATATGGTTAATTTATTACCTCGTAATATCGATGATGATCATTGCATTAACGTTCACATAAAAAAGCAAATGATTCATAGATCAAGCTATGTGCAGGGCTTGATAAATAAAACAAATATAAAAGTATGGCTTCAATTTGTTAGGCAAGACAGATATTACAGCTGTTCAAGGAATGAGATTATATTGTCAGCGAAAAAGTAAAAAAATACAAACAGTAAATGAATGTATGTTAATTTTACAGGATGAGTTAATTTGCAAAAACAATATTTGTTTAGGCGTTGTTTAACATAATCCACTGTGTGAATGAATATTATAGAATTTATTAATCAGCAATTACTTTAAAACGATCATGTCATATTTCAAGTACGACTTTGATTACATTATTGTTTGTAAATATTATACATATTTTAAATGCAATCATAAATATATAATTTATAATTTATCATTATATAAATGTGTATAATGATTGACGACACTAATAAATGTGTGCATCACGAGTGTTGCCATATTACTAATAAACATTATTCAAAATTTTTATATGATGTATTTATTTTTACTCAACTTAAATTTGCTACAATATAATTGCAAATAAGTTTTACTTCAATCGCGTGTGATCCTTACGCGCACTTTTTTTTTTCTTATCGTCGCCAAGAAGAGAACACTCAAGACTAACAAAAACCAACCAACAAATGTTCTGTATTAAAATTTATTAATGTACAAAAATACACGAGTCAATCCTTATGTCTGACATAAAACCAAAATCTTTAGTTCAATTCATTTACTAAAACTTAACTAAACTTTTATTAAGTAAAAACTAACCTCCAATCCATCAATCATTTACTACAACTTTTTCTTATCGTCGCCAAGGGCGATTTTAATTTTAGGCAAGGCGTTTTTAGCCGCTATTTCCACCTCGGAAATGACTCCGGTGTCCCAGAAACTTGCAAGGGCCAGGATGTAAATGACGAATATTACCAGGAGAAAAAGGGATGTGGTGCAGCATGAGTATCCTATCAGTTGGCCCAAGAGAAGTATGATGGCGATGTAGAACCAGGATTTCATGTTGGCCAAGGGCCGTAGAGATAGTCGAGGCGGCAGAACTTTGGTCTCGAGGGAACTGTAGTCTGTAAAAAGGAAATGTGAGTTAGTTTGATGTATTGTGCATGGGTGAAGGTTGGTTGTAAGGGTTTTTTTTAAAGGTTTGGCGATCTGTGTGTACGAGTGTCACCTATAAGTGATATTTGGACTTTTACTCGTCTGTAGAGTCGGTTTTAATATTTTTTACATTTTGCTCGTGAGTAGAGTACTATTCGATTTTTTTATGACTTTTTCGCATTTTGCTCGTCAATAGAGTCCCTTTGATTTTCTTTGATGTGTTTACACACATTCGATTTTTTTGACATTTTTCGAGAGTCCCTTTCGATCTTACACGTTTTGGTCGTTAGTAGAGTCCCTTTTTTATTTTTATTTTTATATTTATCAGTAGATTGCTCGCCAGTAGTGCCCTTTTTTATTTTTACTAGTAGTTTGCTCGTCAGTAGAGTCTCTTTTTATATTTTATAAGTTTGCTCGTCAGTAGAGTCCTTTTTTAATATTATTTCATTTTGCTCGTCAGTAGAGTCTCTTTTTTATTTTTATTAGTAGTTTGCTCGTTAGTACAGTCCCTTTTTTATTTTTGTAACTATATTCCTCATAAGTAGAGTTTCTCTTTATTTTATTATTATTAGTTTGCTCGTCAGTAGAGTTCCTTTTTGTCATATTTTCATCAATTAGTTCAGTAGAGTAGTCCCTTTTAATACCATTTTACATTTTGCTCGTCAGTAGAGTCCTCTCCGATATTTTTCTACATTTTGCTGGTCAATAGAGTCCTTTTTAATATTTTCTACATTTTGCTCGTCAGTAGAGTCTTTTATAATATTTTCTACATTTTGCTCATCAGTATAGTCCATTTTAAAATTCAATCAGTTTGTTTGTCAGTAGAGTTCCTTTTTGATATTTTATCAGTTTGCTCGTTAGTAGAGTCCCTTTCGATCTTTTTAACATTTTGCTCGTCAGTAGAGTTCTTTTTAATATTTTGTCAGTTTGCAGTAGTGTCCTGTCAGATCTTTATTGCATTTTTCTTGCCAGTAGAGTCCCTTTTGATATTTTTAAAATTTTGCTTGTCAGCAGAGTCCTTTTTGATATTTGTTTACATTTTTCTCATCAGTAGAAGCCTTTAATTTTTTTTTAAATTTTACTCGTCAGTAGAGTCCTTTTCGATATTTTTTTACATTTTGCTCGTCAGTAGAGTCCTTTTTTGATTCTTTAACATTTTACTCGTCAGTAGAGTCTCTTTCGATTTTTATTATATTTTACTAGTCAGTAGAGTCCTTTTCAATCCTTTATCAAAATTTTGTCAGTTTGCTCGTCAGTAGAGTCCCTTTTAACATATTTTTACGTTTTGCTCGACAGTAGGGTTCATATTTCACTAGTCAGTAGAGTGCTTTCTGATATTTTTTTAATTTTGCTCGTCAGTAGAGTCCCTTTTGATATTTTATATGTTTGCTTGTCAGTAGAGTCCCATTCGATCTTTATTATATTTTGCACAACAGTAGAGTCCCTTTCCATCTTCCTTTTTATTAAGGGTTGATTAAAATTTTTGAAACTCTTAATATCTTCTAACTAAGTACCAAATAGAAAATAAATAAAACTAACCTCTGAATAGCAAAAATTTCAAAAGTGACATTAGTACAACTTCACGTCTATTTTATTTATAAGTGCAACTTCAGAGTAGTTCTTATTTGAAACTTGCTAAAGGTTCGCCTCACTTAACGAACGAGTATGACGAACAAGAAAACGAACACAAACAAAGGCGAAGCATTTCAAACGAATTTGAACAAACGCCTCAAAGCAGTGAAGACTTGAATCTTCTTTGTTCGATAAGAGTAAAATTATTTAACGTGATCCAATTTAACAATAACAGCAATATCACATAATAATCATTCATAACCTAATGCAGGAATGCATATATTAACATCAAAGAACAAAAATGTTTATATACATTCGTGGACATAATTTTGCTCTGTCCCGCCACTTTTAATAATAAAACTGACGTTTCACGGAACTTTCTCGAACAAAGAAGATTCAAGCCCTGGTGCTTTGAAGCGTTTGTTGAAATTCGTTTAGAATGATTCGCCTTCGTTCGGGTTCGTGTTCGTTCTTCTTTGTATTTTCTTGTTCGTCATGTTCGTTCGTTAGTGGAGGACGCACCTTAACTAGCTACATAAACTCTACTGACAAAAAACAAGAAATGGATTGATGTTTTACACTTACCAAATTTGGTCCTCGCAAAATACCTGGCAATCATTGGAGGCATCAAAATCTGTCGTGCAACACTTCCCACGAATTTATCATTGAACCAAAGATCCTTGAATTCGGTCCCGTACTGGAATAAAAATATAAAAAGTTAGGGGCCAATTGGTATAAAACAAATGTTTACGTTACGTATGAATTGGTACTAAAAATTGTCACAATTAAAAGAAGACAAAACGCTATGTATTTGCTGAAAGAAATTTACTCTTATAACATTTTGAGTTTTGTAGCATACATAACATATCGTTGCCCACAACAATTTTATTTTATAGGAGAATTGGCACCTTAGTTATCAATTTGTTATATTTTTTTTTAAATGCTTACCTTGCAATTCACTTTTTTTTACCTAGAATAATAAAATAATTTTATACCCTATGTACTATAGCTAGTTGTAAAGAAATACAATCATTTTGTACGCAAATACAAATTATTTACTTAACTATTTACTTATTTTTCAAGTAACTTGTTTTATATTAGGTCTGATTTAGCCATTTTTTTAAAATAAATTATATCTCGTCCTTTGAAGTAATAGATTATTCGTGTGTAGTGTAATTAGTTAACTTTTTAATAAACATTGCGCCGGGCGTCTACAGGACCTTATCTCATATTTCTAAGAATTATGTAAATTGAATTGCGAAATTAAAACAAAATATAGAAAATATTAAAAAGGAATCTACAGACGAGCAAACTGATAAAATATCAAAAAGGACTCTATTGACGAGCAAACTGATAAAATATTAAAAAGGACTGTACTGACGAGCAAACTACAGATAAAAATAAAAAAAGAACTCTACTGACGAGCAAAATGTAAAAAGTATTGAAAGTTGTAAAAAATGTAAAATAGTATCAAATAGGACTCCACTGACTTGTAAACTGGTAGATTATTAAAAAATACTATACTGACGAAAAAATGTAAAAAATATTGAAAGGGACTCTACTGACAAGCAAACTGATAATAAAAATAAAAAGTGAAAGGGCTCTACTAACGAGCAAACTACTAATAAAAATAAAACAGGGACTCTACTGACGAGCAAACTGCTGATAAAAATAAAAAGAAACTCTACTGACGAGAAATCTACTGATAAAAATGAAAAAGATACTTTACTGACGAGCAAACTACTGATAAAAATAAAAAAGGAACTCTACTGACGAGCAAAATATTGATAAAAATGCAAAAGGAACTCTACTGACGAGCAAACTAATAATAAAAATAAAAAAGGGACTCTACTGACGAGCAAATTGACAACAAAAATAAAAAAAAGACTGTACTGACGAGCAAATAGACAACAAAAATAAAAACGGACTCTACTGACGAGCAATCTACTGATAAAAATGAAAAAAAAAACTCTACTGACGAGCAAACGACTAATAAAAATATAAAAACATTGGTGTCAATTAGTATAAAACAGAATTATATAGGTTACTTCAGTTACTTGATACTAAAAACTGTAAAAACGCTATGTATCTGCAGTGAGGACACACAAAACCTAACTTCATCCATGTGTTATCAATGAGACATTAGAAAGTTGCACTTATGATAACATTTTGAGTTTTGTAGCTTTTTTAACAGTTTTTACTACAAATTCATACGTAACATTTCTATTTCATGGGAGAATTGACTTCCTAATTATCAATTTGCATAAATTTGTAATATTTATGTTTTAAAGCTTACCTTGCAATTTAAGTATCGACTTAGAGCAAAACATTTGTCGACCACAAATTTCATCTCATAACTGCTTGGCGGTATCAAATCGGGATCACCCATGTATTTCATATTGCGAGCGTATTCTTTAACCTAAAAAATAAATAAATAAATAAATAAATAAATAAATAAATATATATATATATATATATATATTTACTATATTTATTATTATTACCTGTGCATAATTCAAAACAAAATGTGAACCCGTGGAATGAATGCTATTAAAACTTGTTCCCTCAAAAGACGTCGTCGGATCACACGTAAAAGTCTCGGAATCTTTCAACTGTTGATTTATTCTCAATTTCAATTCACTGTAGTCTATCTGCAAATAGAAATTGAAAGTAAATATTACAAAATAATTGAGATAAAATATTTAAATTGTATTTATTTATTTCTTACGTTAAAAATTTGGCACAAATACTGCGAAGACACTTCTAAATATCCAGGAATTTTCTTTCCCTCGGCGATGGAGTGCTCCAAATCAGAAGACTCGGTCATGTCGAGCATGTATTTTATGTAATTCATGAAACCTAAAAAAAAATATAAATTGTGAATTAAATTTAATATATTAATTATGTAATAAAATATTTTTTTGTCTACAAACCTGTTTTACGTAGCTTTAAAGTGTGTTCCAAAATAGCGACTTGTTGTTTTGATTTGTTGATGCATTCTTGCATGTGTTTTAAAAGTTTTGCAATCTGCAAAATATAAATAAAATATAATTATACAGATTAACGTATTTCGAAGCAATATAAATTCACATGTAAAAACATTGAAATGTCTAATATTTTATCAAATAGGTCGTCAGTAGAGTTCCTTTTGATACTTTTAAAATTTTCCTTGTCAGAAGAGTTCTTTTAGATCTTTATTACATTTTGCTCGTCAGTAGAGTCATTTTAAATATTTTCAGTTTGCTCGTCAGTAGAGTCCTTTTTGATGTTTTTTTAGTTTGCTTGCCAGTAGAGTCCTTTTCATTATTTTATCAATTTGCTCGTCAGTAGAGTCCTTTTCGGTAGTTTTTACATTTTGCTTTTTAGTAGATCTAAACTTTTGATACTTTTTACATTTCGCTCATCAGTAGAGTCATTTTAAATATTTTCAGTTTGCTCGTCAGTAGAGTCCTTTTTAAATATTTTTTAGATTTTGCTTGACAGTAGAGTCCCTTTTGATATTTTATTAATTTGCTGTTCAGTCGAGTCCTCTTGAATCTTTATTACATTTTTCATTAAATAAAAAAGGGACTCTACTGACGTGCAAACTGAAAAATATCGAAAAGGACTCTACTGGCGAGTACAATTTTTAAAAAATCTAAAGGACTCTACTGATGATAAAAATGCAAAAACATATAAAAAAAGGACTCTACTGACGAGCAAACTGAAACACAAGACATTTTATTATAAGGGAACTCTACTGACGAGCAAAATGTGAGATAGACGGTAAATAGAAAAGGGACTCTACTGACAAGCAAACTGATACACAAAACGCATATATAAAAAAAAGACTACTGACGAGCTAAGTGAAATAAAACGTAAAATAGAAAATGGACTCTACTGACGAGCAAGCTGTATGTAGATTTAAAAAATATCTACTAACAAGCAAGTTGATAAAATGGGTTAAAAAATAGAAAAATAATCAAAAAAATAATAAGGGAAATAAAAATATCTGCTATCGACCCTACTGACGAACTAACTGTAAATGTAGATTTATTTATTATTTACCTCTAATATGTTTGTTTTCCGGAACATGCTCTTGTATTTGAATTCAGGGCCCTCCAACTGCAATACTCGTTGTCTGATGGCATCGGCAATTCTAGAATTAAAATAAATAAATTAGTTTCAATCAAACTGTTTCGTTGAAAACGTATTTAAAAATACTTCACCTCAAATTTTCATTAAAACTCTGGTTGAATTTGGGGCTTCCCGATCTATTACCAGGCGTTGGTGATTCAGGTGAAGGCTCTGTTAAGGCTATTTCGATTTCGAAGAGAATCTTTGGTAATGGTTGACGCGAAAAAACCTTTAGAAAAAAAAGAAAGGGTTATAATAGTAAAATTATTGTTATTTTATATATTACATTGATTTGTCTTTAAAACCTACCTTTGCAACTCTGTATAAAAGTGAAGCATTTTTGGACACAACAAGATCTAACCTTTCGATTCTTGCTAAAATTTGTTGAAAAGTTTGTGTATACGCCAGAATATTATCCATTATAAAAGCTTTGCATTGATGATTTATTTCCACGGCGTCGCTGAAAATAAAAAATAAATTAATACATATATATATATATATATATATATATATAATTTATATTTACATTTGTGGAGGGTTACATCTGTCGTATCGCCAAGGTTGAATAAAACTCAACCACATTTCGACAATCAGAATGAAGTTGTGATCCATCGGCCAGCGGTTTAACATTTGTTTCAGGAACAGATAGAATTTATCCTGCAAATAAAAAAAAAATCTCGGTCTCCGCAAGGTTTATAGCTAAGAAAATTAGTGGTGCATGGCATCGTGCCTTAGTGCAAATTGCTGGAACTTTACGCACCGTAATTAAAAATTCAAGTAATGACATTAGTGAGAATTATCAGAATTATGCTTGGTTAAGTCAACGAGCGATTCTTGCAGCAAAGAATAATGATGTACACGCACTGAATTTCACCATTCAATCAAACATTGCTGGCGATTTGGTGACATACCAATGATTCCGACTGGTCTTCCGTTTGACTTCAAACGATTGCAATTTCCAGTTCGACTTGCGTTCGCAATAACAAGTCGCAAGGCCAATCGCTTAGTGTTTTCGGAATAAATTTCAAATAGATTATTTAGAAAATCATTGTTTTTCACATGGGCAGTTATACGTTGCCTGTTCATGAGTTGGAAAACCATCCGTTAACGTCAGACCAAAAAACAAAAAATGTGGTTTACCAAAGAGCACTTCATGAAACGGATAATTTGCGGATTCACTTTCATTTACTTAGAGAAGTTCAACTAAAAAACACTGCATTTTTGTAATCGAAATAAATTCATTACTGTTGATAATAAAATTAAATTTTTCCTTTTCAAATATAAAACAACAAAAAATTTCTTCATCTTTCTCATGAAACATCTGGTGGCGAACGGAGTTGGTCGGGTTGCTAGTATATATATATATATATATATATATATATATATATATATATTATTATTTATTATTACCTGAAATATTTTCCACGTCGAATTTTTCAACTGAGCAAAACTTTGATTAGGATCATACCGCACACTCATAGCAAATGCGTGCACCTGTTTCACAACTATTCGAATTAATTTTATATAATCGTTACTAGGTAAAATATTCTGAAACAAAAAGAATCTTACTGTAATATGAAACATTAAAATGAATCAATGCCTAATTAAATAATACTTACATTATTATTTTCTGTTACTATATAACCAGAAATATTTTTGCTCTCAAAAGCAATATCACTGCATAACCAGATATCGGTGAAGACTGTCAGGACTGTTTCTGTTCTCCAAAAGGTTTGGCTATAGTTGAACATGTTATTGTCTATATCATTAGATGATGGAGATTCTATGAAGTTTTCTGATAGCTTTATCAGACGTGGAGTTTGGGGCGTCCTGGGGGAAAAAAAATTATAATAATAAGTATATATATATATATATATATATATATATATATATATATATATTATCACAATACACTCCATATATTATAAAAATCGTTTTCTACTCGTCGAGACCTTTCAAACGATACCCCACATGCCATAAAAACAGTATATTAACTTTTTGAAGTAAAACTTCTTTAGGCTCGTTTAATAAAAATTCATTTAAAGTGTATATTTTTTAGACAAATTCGATAGTTAATTTTAGTATTCGCTTCACACCTCACATAAAAAAAAAACAACATTCTGATCTTGTTTTCGATAAAATATGGTAATATATATGACTTTTTTATTACAATATACTCATTTTGTCATGAAAATCGTTTTCTACTCGTCGAGACTTTTCAAACGATACCCCACATGCCATTAAAACAGAATATTAACTTTTTGAAGTAAAACTTCTTTAGACTCGTTTGGTACAGATTCATTTAAAGCGTATATTTTTTGGAAAAATTGCATATTTAATTACAGAATTCGCTACTTCACACCTCACAATTTTTTTTTAAAAAAAACAACATTCTAATCTTGTTTTCGATAAAATATGGTAATATATATGACGTTTTTATTACAATACACTCGATTTCTTATAAAAATCGTTTTCTACTCGTCGAGACTTTTCAAACGATACCCCACATGCCATAAAAACAGAAAAATAACTTTTTGAAGTAAAACTTCTTTAGGCTCGTTTAATAAAAATTCATTTAAAGTGTATATTCTTTGGACAAAGCATATAGTTAATGTTAGTATTCGCTACGAAAGCTTCACACCTCACATTTTTTTTTTAAAAAAAAAACAACATTCTGATCTTGTTTTCGATAAAATATGGTAATATATATGACTATTTTATTACAATACACTCGATTTCTTATAAAAATCGTTTTCTACTCGTCGAGACCTTTCAAACGATACCCCACATGCCGTAAAAACAGAATATTAACTTTTTGAAGTAAAACTTCTTTAAACTCATTTAGTAAAAATTCATTTGAAGTGCAATTTTTTTTAGACAAATTGCATAGTTAATTTTAGTAAACGCTATAAAAGTTTTCCAACTCACACATTTAAAAAAAATGACATTTTAATCTTGTTTCTGATAAAAATATGGTAATATATATGACGTTTTTATTACAATATACTTATTTTGTCTTTAAAAATCGTTTTCTACTCGTCGAGACCTTTCAAACGATACCCCACATGCCTTAAAAGATACAATCTAAATTTTTTGAAGTAAAACTTCTTTAAACTTGTTTAATAAAAAGTCATTTAAAGTGTAATTTTTTTAGACAAATTGTATAGTTAGTTTTAGTAAACGCTATAAAAATTTTCCAACTCACACATTTAAAAAAAAAAAAGACATTTTAATCTTGTTTTTGATAAAAATATGGTAATATATATGACGTTTTTATTACAATATACTCATTTTGTCATGAAAATCGTTTTCTACTCGTCGAGACCTTTCAAACGATACCCCACATGCCATTAAAACAGAATATTAACTTTTTGAAGTAAAACTTCTTTAGACTCGTTTGGTACAGATTCATTTAAAGTGTATATTATTTGGACAAATCACATAGTTACTGTTAGATTCGCTACAAAGAAAAATATCGTGCACATTTTAAACAATATTTGAAAAAAAAAAATAACAAATATTAGATATATATATATATATATATATATATATATACATAATTATAATTTTATAAAAATCGTTTTCTACTCGTCGAAACCTTTCAAACGACACCCAACAAGCCATAAAAAAACGCTTAAAAATTTTTTGAAGTAAAACTTCTTTAGACTTACTATCATTTTTCTTGTAAATAACTGATTTTTACATACAATCAAAATTTTAAAAAAAGGAAAAAATATATATACCATCAAAATTACAAGTCTGCTGCACAGATGGCGCAAGAATTCATGTTAAAAAAATATACGAAACTTTTAATCGAATCGCGGACTATGTTAGAGTTAATATTAAGACTTCAAACTTTCAGAGAATTTTTTTGTATCTATTTGGAAGCGTTTGAGCCCTTGGGAGCAAAGAAATTCGGAAGAACTACCCTAATATATATGTATTTTATTTTCTTTTACCTTGGTACAACGACAGGAGACATTTTACTGCGGTCCTTAAGCATTGTCAAGTCTGGTAAAATCGTGGAGTCCCCATCGCATCTTAAAAAGTGCTGTAAATAATCACAGCACAAGGCTCGATAAACCGAAAACGATTCTTGGTTGGAAGGTAAATCTACACATTGCATTTCGTTGCATAAATGTAGAGCAAAGTTAAAAATGTAGTAGTCAAAAGAATCTGGAGGAAAAAATGAATAAAATTAGATACAAGAGGATTAAATTAATTTCAATGGTGACAAAGACTTACTTAAAACTAAAACAAGTCCTTTAGCATTGAATGTCTAGGTTTCTTTATAAAAATTAGATAAATTGTTGCCAGCCGACAGTTTGTTCCTTAAAAGTTGCTGCAAAATATTAACCATAATTAGATAAAGGGTGCACATGAGATATTTCATTTATACTTACAGGCAAATACGATATCGGTAGCAAGAACTTAATATTATCATCCAACAATCTGTAACACAATCTTAAAAATGGGCCCAGGGGCGAGAAGAAATCATGCAAGAGATCGAATTCCTGAAACAAACAAACGTAAGTAAGGTAAAGCTAGGTAACTATAAAATCAATCTTATTTATCATCCTTACGTTTGACGATTGTGTGATAACACGCAAGCCCCATCCTTGTCCACCTCTAGAATTAAAAATAGAGTCCACGAGTTGTGGAAAAATATTCTGCAAATCACGTGGGTGGTAGGAATTTATCATTGCGTTTAACCTGTGGCAACGGAACTGGATTGGTGTGGAAAGCACACCACATAGCTCTGCCTAGAAAGGTAAAAAAACAGAAATTAATAAATGTAATAATAGTAATGAACTAGTGGGGCAAATTGCTGGAACTTCCCTGAAGCAAAATAAAATAGTGGAGGAGTATAAAGTGTTTTGTAATAGATTATTATAAATACTGTAATATTATATACTAACTAATATGATCTCAAGAATTATATTCACAGAATTACAAAGTTAAAACTATGTATTTTATGTAAACAGGAAGTTTTTGACTAGTATTATTTTAGTTAAATGAATACTTACTGCTACACAGTCAGGACCACCTGGAGAAATCATTTTAACACTAAATTAAATAATAAAATATATTATATCACACTAAATTAAGTTAAACTTCTTCACATTTATGATAAACACAGCATTAGTTTAGTGTTTACATTCCGAGTTATTGTAAACATTAAATATAAAAATATTTATAATTTTGAGGTTAGAACACATTTTTTAAACATGTTAATGTCAGAGTGTTAAAACGTTGTTAACAGCGCCGCTCGTGAGTATTTTTGGAACTAATTGTAAACATATATATATGTATATAATAATATAATAACAATATATATATAATGTTTTCATAACTTATACATGAATTTTCTTGTATATAAATAAATACTAAGTAATTGTGTGTAAATGAATACTTGCAAAAATGCTATAAAAATAATTTTTGAAAAGTAGCCATTTTGAATTTTGCGCGACAAACGATACCGTGTGCACGTTAAAAAAACTTTCATTTAGCCTGATTTAGCCTTTTATGTGCAAATTATACAAAAAAAACAACAGACATTTATATAAAAACATAAACCCGAATACAAATTCATTATTTATTTTGTATTATTACAAATAATTATTAATAAAAGTAGCCATTTGAATTTAGCGTACAAACGATACCGTGTGCGCGTTAAAAAAACTTTTCTTTAGCCTGTTTTAGACTTTAATATATAATTTAAACAAAAAACAAAACGCATTTATATTAAAACCATAATCCCAAATACAAATTCATTATTTAATTAATATTATTACAAATATTTTTTTTTTATCCTTTATATCGATATATCCTTATCCCTCTACCGATATTTTCCTGCGCTCTAGTTCTTCTCCAAAATGACAGCATTGACAATTTGCTTTTAGCTGTTTATGATTTAGTTGTAAATATTACTGTTATTCGGGCTTTTTTCATAAATTAGAATATATTAGTGTAATTCTGTTAGTTAGACTTAAGTGCAAAAAGTAAAAACATGGATTTCCTAGACTCAGAAGCCGAAGAAAGCGAGGTATGAAAAATTTAGAACGCATTCTTGGAATTTTTTTGCTTTTATGGCTAAATAGATAAAGGATACATGTTGTAAATGATTTTTAGAGCTTGATTTGTTTATGGGGGCACTCAGGTGTTGTGTGCACCTTGATTTTGTACCCTGGAGTGCTAAAATGCTTACCAAAACATTTTTGTTTGCATACTATTTTTGTGTATTTACAACATTTTACTATAATATGCTTGTTTTTTATCTTTTAGCAAGAAGACGAGTTAGATAACAATGAGAGGAAAAAGTTGAAAAAGCTGAAAGCTATGGATAGCGATGAGGAAGATGAAGAAGGTTAATCTTTATTATTATTGTTTTCGCTTAAATATCTCCTTCAGGTGAATCTAAAACTTGAGAGAGTTTTGTACTAACTATCTGCTACAACTAAATAGCTTTTCATATGTATTTACAAATATTCTGGCAAAAAGTTTATACTTAAAATGAGGTTAAGTCAAACTTGTTCGTAGAATTCATTTTATTGTAGGCATTTGGCTTAAATAACTCATACAGGTGAATCTGAATCCGTGAGAGAGACAATCTTGTACTAACTATTTCTTACAATCAAATAGCTTTTTATATATATTTAGAAATGTTTTGATGAAAAGTTTATACTCAAATGAGGTTAAGTCAAACTTGTTTAAAGAATTGAATTATTATAAGTATTCGGCTTATAAATATTCCTGTTTGGTGAATCTAAATCCTTGAAGACGGTCATGTACTTGTTATTATATAAAACTAAATCCATTTTTATCTCTATTCACAAATATTTAGAGAAATGATAATGGTTCAAATGTGAGGTTAAATCAGACTCTCGAATCGAATTAGTGAGAGTTTTTACATAATTGGCTTAATTATCTTTTTCCATGAATTTCAGATGAATCAGAGACTTTCCAGTTAGTTTTTTATGTGATATTGACCTTCTGATGATTAATTTCTTAAAATTGAATGTTTGTTTTATATATATTTACAAATATTTACTTATAAGTACTTGTAATATGAGGTTGAGTCAGATTTGTTTGGAATCGAATTAGTGATATCTTCACATATTTGATTTAAATGTCTTGTGGTTATTGTACAAATAACTGCTTGAGAATAAATTAAATTCACAAATGCTTATATACAAATATTGCTGACTAAGTAGATTTTTTTATTATGAGCGAGATAAAAATTGTGTGAATTCAAGAATAATGGATTTATGATGAAATTTTTTTGTTATATTGTCTGATTATAATTACAGAGATGAATTTGTTATCGACATTCATTATGATCTACATAATTCATTATGATCTACATAGAATATTTATTTACTAGAAAGTCTTCTAGCTTAGAATATTAATGTTTAATTTCAATTATGAGTTCTATATGTTGTTCATCATTAGTTTTTATAGTTTCAATAGTTACGTATAGTAATTACTAAAATTACTGTAGTACCCATTTGATATAGGATTTTGGACATTTCTTTTCACTTTTTGGAATACTTAGGAAATTTTGCACCGGCTAGTTGAATTTATTTACATCAGTAAAAAACTAGATAAAATTTACTAAATCTTGTAAAAAACTATTACCTTCACTTGGATATCGAAATTTTGAGTAGTAATTTATAGTTGAAATGCGGTTTAGTATTTTGATAATTTGCTATATAAGGATTTAGGAGATTTTTTTACATTTCTTTGAATAACTTTCAATTTTCTTCTTAGACATTTTAATTCATTTACATCAGTAAAAACTAGATGAAATTTACTAAAATGTAGTAAAAACTGTTTTATACACTTGGATAATAAAATCTGGAATAATTCATAGTTGAAATGCGGGCTTAAGCATTTCATAATTTGCCATATATGGATTTAGGACATTTTTTTACATTTCTTCAAATAACTTTTAATTTTCTTCCCGGACATTTTAATTTAGTTACATTAGTAAAAACTACATAAAAATTTACCAAAATTTAGTAAAAACTGTTTTATACACTTGGATATCAAAATTTTGAATAATTCGTAGTTGAAATGCGGACTTTAGTATCATAAGCATTATATGGATTTAGGACAAATTTTTGTATTTCTTCAAGTAAATTTTAATTTTTATTTTGGATGTTAAAATTGTTTGGCATGAATAAAAACTAGATGAAATTTACTAAAATCTAGTAAAAACTTTTATATACACTCTTGTAAAAAATTTTACAATATATATAAATTTATATATCCTTATATATAAATCTATGACCGCTCGCTTTATTAATTTGCTATTAACCTATATATATAACATACTCCGTACAATATCTTTGTACCTCTTACAAACTTTACATTCTATGTTTACACGCTACATTTTACTCTTATGTATTAATTGTCTCTACCTATCTATTGTCTTTCCGGGAATTGACCCCGGGACCTCAATTAATACTAAGGTGCGCAACGATACGCGATAAAAGACGAGTATCGTAGCGTTACGGTGGTCTAGTGGTTAAGGTCGTCTCCTGCACGCAGAGGGCTCGGGTTCGATTCTCGTTAGAGTTGTAAGATAAGAAATAATATTGGGCGTATTATGTACATAGGGTTGTAGGCGTACTATGTGGTTAGTAAGGGGGGGTTGTTCTTTTTTTTTACAAAAAATGCAGGGTATTTGTTTTGTTTTTCTTGAAATGTATTTATCCTAGAGACATGCGTTTTTTTTTAAACAAAAATTACAAAATCATAGATTATTTTCTTTTTTTTTTCGCTTTCATTTATAACCAGGGGGCATTGAAAAAAGTCAATTGAGAAAAAACGTATTTAAAGTTTTCAATATAATGTACTAAATACACCATTTAATTTAATGTACTAAATACACCATGGTGTTCAAAGATGCTGGCACAATAAAAAGGTCATGTGCATGAGGTATTATAATGAAAAAGAGAGCAGCTGGCATAAATAGCTCGGAGCGATGAGATGAAAAAAACGATTTCAGAGGAACATACATATAGAGATATATATATCTATAACTTCGTCAAAAAAA